TTAAAAGTCAAACGAAGTACTTTCTGCCTGAAAACCATCAAAAACCGGGCAAATTGACTGCCCAGCACAGTAGTGTAACCTCAGCAGCCTGCTTGACGTGAGACAGGCTACAAATGCTAAATAGATAGTTTTCGGGTCATAGAAACAATTCCTGTTATCATGCTAAGTTAAATTGGTCACAACAGTGAGTGTAACAGTCCTGCCATGAAATGTCCGCTTTTTTAGAATCATTACAGCAAGAATATTGTACCATCTGTTTAGTCTGAGCTGTCTTTTTTTTTCTACTAGCTAAGTTCTTCAGAAATTTCGGACTTCCTCTTCAATTAACTTCTTCTATATAAGATGAATATTTCCTTATTTTTACGCCGGCAAAAAATATGATGGACATTGAGTTAAATTCCACTGCGTATCTGTTAAAAGTCCTGTTCATCTGTGATCTTCTTCTAAAAATTCTGAAACATTTTCTGCATAAAACAGGTTTTCATAATCAACGAAAACATAACTTGATGAATGCACTCGGGATGAAGTTCGATGAGAAATTCCGACGAATTTGATAAGTCAATGCTTTTTCAAGAAGATTTAAGGACATTCTTTTTGAAACAGACACAAAAGGAAGTATACAATGTGTATTCAACTGTTTCTTCTCACGATAAGCATAATCATTATAATTAGCTGATACTAATAATTATGCTAATGACAGATTTCACTGGAAAAAAATTCTATTCATAGTAATGAAGTCTCAACATAAGCAACTGACTTAAATAAGTGTCATAAAGAAGAGTTAATATTCGTTTTGTCTACCATTTAGTTATTGAGAAGCATATATTTTAACAGTGACACGTGTTATTCTGTTGAAAAAAGAATGTTACTTGGACATCGTACTCAAATGTTAGGATAGATTGACCTAATTGTTCTAAGAAAATTTTTTACCAATGTTATTCTGTCTTTCTTTCAGAAGATAATATTGTTTTCTTTCTCATTTCACTCATAGAGCATGCGTAAGATAAAGCTTGTTTATAGGGATACATTCAGTAAAGCTGAATTGAATGATATTGGTGTCGGTATGAATGTGAGTGTGAGTGAATGACAAGAATATCACCCCCAGCTCTACCTCGAGCCACATAGCCACACAAACACCCACCCATACACACCCAGTACGAAGAGTTAATGTCAGATATCCTTGTCCCTCGTCGGATATTGAGATTCATTTTTCATTCTTCAGATCTATAGTGAATGCTAAGGGAGCAGATTTTGCAGTGGGGCCAGAAAAACTATTAGAAGTTACTAGACACTATTTTCAATGAATTAAGTATAAGAGACACGAATGATGTCAACTGTCATTCTAGTTAGATGCATGACTACTTAAAATAGATGTTCGAAGAGATTACTCACTTTTTTGGTATATGTGTAGTTCATAGACAGTTTCAAAACTTCGACTTCACAATTCTTTTCGCCATTTCAGTTGAACAAAAACTTCTGATCAAATAATTTCACAATAGTTACTAACGAATTCTTTTGAACAGAAAGAACGTATCGAAAAACTGAAAACTCTATTTGAAAATTATAAGATTTCTGTGTTGCAGAAAAAAGGGAAAATGCTTTTAGGGCTTAATCTCATCTCTTTTGTCCTACGACAGTGATACACACGAAAACACAATTCTTTTTCAATCTGTACATATAATACAACGTCGAAGTTCTTCATTCGAATTTTATTTTTTTTTTATTCGTCTTAGAAATTCTCGTTGTATTTAGAGTTATCTCGAAAAAGACGAAAGCGGTTTTACAAAAGTTTCATCTTTATCAATAACAAGGCGAAAGAAGCATTTTACTATATAAGTTCATATACAGTATTACATTTTGTGACAAGATATGTTCATCTATTTTGTACAAAAACTGAATCTTGAGATTTTACGAAAGTTTAAGAAGAACTTCTAACAGCTAATAATTACTTTCAAAATTTGATAAAAATTAATCAATTTATTTCATGTATTAGTTTTATCGCAGAAATACCGAATTTTCTTAAATCAAAAGATATATTTTGGGCGTTAATTTCTTTTGAAACGTCTACTTGGTTTAACAGATAGATGAAAGGAGATGTTATGAGTAGTTTTGATTAATTCATCTTGTTTTCATGGATTATTATTCTTATCATAATCGCTTCAATAACTAATTACCAGAAAATTGTCTTCTTTAGTTGATAAATATATTAACTACTAGCATTGAACAAATATATTGATCTCAACTTTATTAAAGAGAAATGTTTGTATTTAACAACAACTCCAACAACAACAAGTACAAAACCAGGATCAGAGAATAGATCGGTTTCTCTTGTTAAAACTGATTTTTTTCAGAAGGTGATCTGTTGACAATACTGTTTGACGTAAAATCAAATCTTTCGTCTACCATGTTACTTTACGATGCCGTGCATCGTTAAAAAAAAGATTTGCTAAAAAGAGTGAATGTCTTTTCTTTCTCTTCCTAAACTACAAAAAAAATTTCCTTTAATAATCGCAGTGTTCTCTTAGAAAATTTTGTTTTATGAATAGAAAACTTTTGATTTCTGTGCCCTGGAGGCAGCGTTCATGCTAATTACGTCAGAATCATTTTTCATTGAGTCAAATCTACACAGTTTCCCATTTATGAGTGCGGGTTTTGGAGGTTTATCGATGCGCCTCTGTTTTTTCAAACTCAATGTAAGAAATATTTCCTCATAGATTGGACACTCACTGGCAGTATGAGTACTGCTCGAATGTATCACACAGCATCCGTATTAACAAATGGAAAAGTGTTAGTTGTTGGTGGACTTGTCGGTATGGCTTATTTGAATAGTGCTGAGTTATATGATCCGTCAACAGGAAGGTGGGCAAACACTGGCAGTATGAGTATTGCTCGACACTATCACACAGCATCCGTATTAACAAATGGAAAAGTGTTAGTTGTTGGTGGAAGCAGCATGTATGATATTTTGAATAGTGCTGAGTTATATGATCCGTCAACAGGAA